AGAGAGAGAGAGAGAGAGAGAGAGAGAGAGAGAGAGAGAGAGAGGCAAACCAAGAAACAGACTCTTAACTATAGAGAACAAACTGATGGTTACCAGAATTGAGGTGGGTGGGGAGGATGGGTGAAACAGGTGATGGGGATTAAGGAGTCTACTTGTGATAAGCACTGGGTGTTGTATGAAAGTGTTAAATCACTATATTGTACACCTGAAACCAATATTACACTATATTTTAACTAACTGTAATTTAAATTAAAACTTAAAGAATGAAAGTAGTGTTTAAAAGAAAAAATGAAAATCTTAGGACAGAGGGAAGGGTGGGGAAGATGGCAATAGAGCTGCAGTGGAATACTATGAGAGATTTAAAAGCAAAAGATATATGCTTTATTAAATTGTCAATCTGGCCATGCCCTTAGGCATATGGAAGTAGGCAGGAGGGTATGATTTGAGGTTGAGTGATGCATAGGAAGATAGAAGAGGATGGAGGTTGTGGGGAGAGACATAATGAGGCTCAGTCTCTGAAATGAGGCTCTTGACCTCATTGTTTGGGGTGAGTCCTGACACCTGCATGAATCTCTACTTTCACAGAGAATGGGCATCTCCTTGTTCCTTAGGTAAGTCACCGATTTCTTCAATTCTATTCCTTTCTCTCAGTCCTAGCCTATCTGTGTTGATTAGCTGCATGACTTTGGAGGCCACTTGATCGCCCCTGACCAGGGAATCACAATTGGATGATCACAGATACGTATACCAGGAGGGCCCTTCTCCAGCGGAGAAGTTAGGTGTCTGAAGTTTCCTTCTCCTAAGGAAGAGCTCACAGATTGGAGCGTCTCCCGTGGTTTATCTACCCAAGTCCCCCACCCAAGATTTATTCAGTGAAGCTACTAAGGGACCCAGTGGTTGTAGTCACATTTCAGCTTCTCATCAGATCTGATTTCAGGCATACAATGGAAATATCCCACCTTGAGAAAAGATGCATTCAGCATCTGCACAGTTGTATAAACAATACCTGTGGTAGACTAGCAAAGTAGGCTAGACAATCTCCTCCATCTTCAAATCTGTGTTTATAGGATTCTATAAATATAGAAGCAGTAGCCATAACACTTAGCAAAATTTAAAATAAAAAATTTTTTTGTATCTTATACCTAAGTTAAAACCCACACATAGGAAATGTTTGATAGATACAGAATATACTACAAAAAGGGAGATATGAGCGAGAAAATGTAAATAGACAAAAATACTCTCCCTTAATCTGGAAAGAAACAGGCTGTTGAACATGAAAGGTGACTATAAAACACGAAGAACAATCTGGATTTGTTGCTCCTGAGGGCAGGGTTATCTCTCAACACAAATAAAGTCATTCGTCTTATAAGGCACACAGCAGAGAGAAAACAGAATTTGCACAGGTTGAAGAAATAAATGGAAGATATTAAACAGGAAGCAGTATAATGTGGAAATTAAGTAACTATTTGGTTGTCAAACTCAATTTCAAATCTTGGCACAGCAGCCACAAACTGTATGACTCAGTTATCTTGTTAATGAAAGGCTCATTTCTCCTCATTTCTCTCACTTGTAATGGGGGACAAAAATGGTACCTACCCCCGAAAATTGTTGTGAAGATCAGATAAAATCTCTAAAGCAGTTAGGATAGTGCCTGGAACATGGTAAGCACTCAGACATGCTCACTGGCATTATTGTGTAGGGCTTAGATAAATCTTCAGATATTGCATAGTAAACCAACAGTGAGGTCTGTGACAAGCCTGGGATTATGTAAATTATCAGTTTCATTTTCTTCATTTTGAAAGTTGCACATGTCAGCTAATTAAGACATCCATAATAAATAAATTTAGAAAGTCAAAACAAAAATGAGTCACTATTAATTGGAGCACATTTCCTTTAAGGCATAGATTGCTTTTCAAGTTAATTTCGATCATGTGTCCTTTTTGTTTAATTTTTAACATTATATGCATATTTCATTTTATAGTGGATTCTTTAAAGGTCACATAATATTTTTTAATATGGATTATTCCACATAATATTTCATTAAATAAATGGACCATACTCTAATTTACTATTCCTTACTTTTATGTATCATATCCTATGATTTTTAGTATATGATTATTCTAAATAGTGGTATACCCAAAGTATTTTATGAAAAACCTGCTTTCTACATTTAGGAATATTTTGTTAGGAGAAATTTCCAAAAGTGAGAAAGCATTAAAGCCTATAAGTTTTTAAAAAGTTCTTGCTACATGTTGCCAATTACACCATCAGCTGTGATGCTCAAGAATTTATATTCCAACATTGTGAAGTTTCATTAGTATAAACTGCTAATTTAATAAACAAAATGCTGCCTAATTACTGTTTTAATATATGGTTTTTTTGGATTACTAGTCAGAATAATTTTTCTCTTATTCAAAAGCCAATTATATTTTTTGTCACTTTTCTTTATGTTCTTTTACTACCTATTGGGAATTGGTGGATTTTCTAATTTAAACCTTTTATATAATAACAATATCAATAACATTTTCATAACATTTTGACTTATGAAAGGGAATCATGGTAGCCTCCAAACTTTCACCCCAAATAGGGATAGAACTTGGAGGCCACAGTAGAGAAAATCATTATGTAGGCAACTAGAAATAGGTGAGCTTTAGGGAATCATTGTCAAGCCACTAAAGATAAGGGAAAGTGGTAAGGATCACCTGCTTCCCACAGCCTGAGGGTCCTTGTCACAGCTGATCTTGAACATAGCTAGCATCCGAGTTCTGATCTTTTTGGTCTTGGCACCATAGATGATGGGATTGATCACAGGAGGCACAAGTAGGTAGACATCACCCATAAGAACATGCACAATGGGATCAAGACTGTTTCCAAAACGGTGTACCACTGAGAGGCCAATGAGAGGAACATAGAAGGCTAAAACCACGCCGATGTGTGACACACAGGTTGCAAAAGCCTTAGCTCGCTCTGACTTGGAAGGCAGTTGTAGAACTGTTCGTATAATCAGAAAATAGGACAAGGAGATGAAGAGGACATCCACGCCCATAACCAGCAGAATGGCAGTGAGACCATAGACCTCATTGGGCAATGTGTCTGCATAGGCCAACTTCATCATATCCTGGTGCACACAGTAGGAGTGTGAGAGCACATTGGAGCGGCAGAAGGCCAGCCGCTTGATGAGCAGAGGCAGTGGGATAAAGAAGAGGGATCCGCGGACCACGGCCACCATGCCAATCTGGACTGTTACTGTATTGTTGAGCACTGCTGCATGGCGTAGTGGGTGACAGATGGCTATATAACGGTCAAAGGCCATGGCCAGCAGGATAGTGGACTCAATAGCTGAGAGGGCATGAATAAAAAACATCTGGGCAATGCAGGCATCAAAGGCAATCTCCCTGGAATCAAACCAGAGGAGGGCGAGGATCTTGGGCATGGTGGATGTGGACAATGCCAGGTCAATGGCTGCCAACATGCAGAGAAAGAGGTACATGGGAGCGTGCAGGCTGCGCTCTGTCCTTACGATGAACACCACGATGCAGTTTCCAAACACTGCCACGGCATACATTGAAAGCAGGGGGAAGCCGATCCAGAAATGAGCTTCTTCTAATCCTGGGATACCAATGAGTACAAAGGTGGCATGTGTGAAGTTGCAGGAACTCATAGCTGGCATCGAGAAGGGGACACTGGAAAGGGTGAAGTCACACTGGCAGCCAGCTAGCCTGCTAGGACATGGAGCACAATCAGAGAGGCCAGCCCTAAAAACCTGGAAACTGAATATACCTCACCTCTCCCTCTCCTAATGTCTCCTCCCACTCTTCCCAGACATTTAGGCTCTTTCTTAAGAAGTCCTCTTCCAAAGGGAAAATGGTAGTTAAACTTCATTTATCGGGGTGCCTGGGTGTCTCAGTTGGTTGAGAGTCTGACTTTGGCTCAGGTCATGATCTCACGGTCCATCTCGCTGCTGTCAGCGTAGAGCCTGCTCTTGATCTTCTGTCTCCCTCTCATTCTGTCCCTCCCCGACTCGTGCTTTCTCTCTCAAAAATAAATTAACATGAAAAAAATCATTTATCAATTGCTATTCCCCAGGTCCATTTACATTTTTAAAAGGGAACCTGGGGAGAACAATGCTTATCCCAAAATGTATCCTTTCCAAATTCCTCAGACTCCTCCTGGCCCACACCTTCATTGTCTGGATACTGGGTGGTCCTTTTCTCAGGTAAGTGTTAAGAGATACCCTATTGGGAACCCTTTCTAGGTATGTTCTCTTTCCCCTCCTTTCCTTCAACTGTTCATTCCTTTTATAAGCATCTACTTATATGATCTACTATGTACAAGGCAATTTTCTAGATGCTCGTGATACAGAGGGAGAACACACATCTTTTGCCCTTCAGATGCGTTGTCTACTAGACAAGTAACCAAATGATTAGAGTTTTGGGATAAGTGTTAGCATAAAGTGTGTATTTAATGCATGGCAGGGGGAGAGACATGATCACAGGAACTTTCCTGATCAAGATGATTCTTTTGTTTTTAAACATAAGTAGGAGTTAGAAAGGGGAATAATGGGTATACCAAGACAGTGGGAAGAGGGAGATTTTGTGGATTTTTTTTCCTTCAGATTTTCAGGATTTTAGGACCTTAGGGCTGAGGTCAGCAACGGAGGAAAGAAACACAAAACCGGGAATTTTCTAAAAGTGAAAAAAAACACTAAGGAAAAGAGGCCACAAGTCAACATATTAAGGAACATGAGGAAACTCCTTTGAGGTCACTAAGTGATGGGGAGTAGCTCCCTCCAGTGACTTATCTGGGGATGAGGGTGTGTGGCCTCCAGCAGATCCTAGCTGCCTGGCATTGTCCCTTGTGAAGCCTCTTCTCTCTGCTCCTAGCAGATGTGTTTCTCCACACAAGACAGCTGCCTCCAAGGCCATAATTCCTTGTCCCAAGGGGAACGTAGGTCAAGTCCTAACACTCCCAGAGCTTTTCTTTTCTGGATCCTCTGCCAACAAGTCACTGGGGGAAGCTTTCTGTTTTTGGAAGCCCTGCCTTGTCCTCCCTGGCTCTGCACTGCCCTCCCTGGCTCGGCACTGCCCTCCCTGTCTCTGCCCCTGCCCTCCCTGTCTCTGCCCCTGCCCTCCCTGGCTCTGCCCCTGCCCTCCCTGGCTCTG